CAAAGAAAAAGCAACAGCAACCTCTTAATCCAGATATTTATTTTACAAATCACTTCCCTTTTAAACTTTATTCTTGTTTATTAATAACAACTTTTTTTTACTTTCATATAGTATTGTATACCTGTTTACTTTATTCTCTTATTTTTCTATAACTATAAGGATCATATAAAGATGTGCCTTTACCTCACTGGTTGGAGAAAAAGCTTCTTATATTCGTTAGCATAGCTAGCTAACCAGATGCTAATAACAACAAAGTTATTGACTGTATGATCAGTATGTCAGATGAACAGATCGCCACTGGGCGTACAACTAAAGACACAGCCACGCAAAAACTGCGGCATGTGTACAGCTCCTTACGGGTATTGCAATTTGTGAAGTCCCGGCCCGGAGCCGCGTTCTGGTGCTCTCCGTTAGAACTACACTCCTGTCAGACGAGACATATACCACGTGATGACACGTTACGCTCGTGTTGTGTTCAAGGAACCTGTCCTTGGCCAGGAAAAACAGGCAGTCGCTTGTTTAATTCCATTGCGGTCTAGTTTTGTTTCTTTCGTGTGTTTATAAATTACCTCGAGGGCCTTATCAAATAATCTCGCGGACCGTATACGGCCCGGAGGCCTGAGGTTCCCCACCCCTGCTCTATGACATTGTTGACTGTAATCTGTGCTGGGAAGATCTTGAATGAGTGTATTAAAGACATGAAAGTGATAATATGAAATGTATAAAGCGGTTGTGTGTGCAGGCTCCCTGGCTTCAGGACCCAGCTCCTATGAAGTGGCCTCCCCCGCCTCCCAGGAGCTCTACGTGTTTGATGGGAACGGGACTCACCAGTTCACCATGTCTCTGGTCACTGGAGACTATAAATACAACTTCAGCTACAGGTTGGTTTGTGTGGACATTAACTTGTTAACTTGTAAAACATTCATAGAGAGTTTTGTTTACGGAGTGGACACGGCCCATGCCATATAGCCACGACGTAACAGGTTTGATTCCATCTTTTGGTCCTGTTGTATGTCATAACTTCTCTCTGATTGCATTTCTACACTGCCAAAAAAGGGAATCTCAAAAACAAATACATAAATGTAAATGTATTTTTCTTACTTTTATTTTCATTTTTTTGTTCCCTGACAGCAATGAGGAGGATGTGACGGCAGTGACGGACAGCAGTGGGAACACCCTGCGTATCCGCAGAGACACCAACAGGCTGCCTGTACGCGTGGTCACCCCTGACAACCAGGTGAGATGAACCGACTTTAACCATGGTGCACAACTTTTACTTTTCTTATCAAAATATATATTAACAAAAAACATAATTCAAGAAGATTCCCTGCAGTTTCATGAAAGAGCTTAAAAATCTGTTTTGATAACAACAAAATATTTATCACAGTAAAGAAAACTTATCGTGGCGTTTACTGACTGCTGCAACAGGCCTAATCTGTTTGCGTGTTTGTTGGTGTGTGTGTGTGTGTGTGTGTGTGTGTGTGTGTGTGTGTGTGTGTGTGTGTGTGTCTGTGTGTCTGTGTGTCTGTGTGTGTGTGTGTGTGTGTGCAGGTCATCTGGCTGACCATCGGGACTAACGGGGGTCTGAAGACTCTCACGGCTCAGGGTCAGGAACTGGTCTTGTTTAGTTACCATGGAAACAGTGGCTTGCTGGCTACCAAGAGTATCCAGATAGGCTGGACCACCTTCTATGAGTGAGAGCTTCACTGTCTTTGTAATGGGGGACATGTTTGCACCGCTGAGGGGTGCATGGACAGTTGGATCTTCACATTTCAAAAGTTTAAAAACCAACTGAGAAGGAGAGAAGCCTTCAAGGGTTTTATAGAGAAAAACTCTTCTGACAGATTAGCATTCCCTTATGTGATCTACACCTGCTCAAACTAGCTCAAAGTGGTTTATATTTGTCAGGATCAGAGATTTGTAACATCCAGTCCTTCATTTGCCTACAAGTTAATGTCTGGACATAATTCTGTGTCGGACATAAAATAACAGAAAACCTATTTAATGGGTAGAAACTCACTGAATATAATATCCAACATCCCTAAAAGTATATTATTTATCTACCTTCCGCTGAGTAGAAATAACAAAAGAAATGTATAAAATGGCTGTAAGAAACTGGCAAAGACTGTGTGTGTGTGTGTGTGCCCTTGTGCAGGTCTGTGTATTTTTTTAATGCCCATTCATATTCTTTACAAGGTTCCGTAAAGCACATTACAGTAATGGCAACTAATCCCTGTATTCCCCCACCCTCCTCCCCATCCTTGTAGCTATGACAGCGAGGGCCGTCTGACTAATGTGACATTCCCCACCGGCGTGGTGACCAATCTCCACGGCGACATGTCGTCAGGGGCTGTTGCTGTGGACATTGAGACGTCAGGGAGGGATGAGGACGTTTCCATCACAACCAATCTGTCGTCAATAGACTCCTTCTACACTCTGGTGCAGGGTAAGCTGCTGTGTGTGTGTGTGTGTGTGTGTGTGTGTGTGTGTGTGTGTGTGTGTGTGTGTGTGTGTGTGTGTGTGTGTGTGTGTGTGTGTGTGTGTGTGTGTGTGAGAGATGTTAAGATTCACCGATTCGCATCGGTGCACCGGCATAAACGTTCAAGATGCGAGTGCACCGGTTGAAAGAGTGCACATCGGCTACAGTTTGGGTTGAACCGGGTTGAACTCGCGATGCATCGATTGCGTAGCGTCTTTGCATCGGTAAAAAAACGATTCATTCATATAAAATCCCCTTATCTTGTCAACGCTCAGCAGAGACGATCTTTGATATTTCCTTCGCCACTACGGAGAACGAGAGTCTCAGTTATCAACACACACGGAAGTTGAGGAGAAAGAGAAACACAGCGCACCGAAAAATACCTACAAATCAAACGTTTGACAACACTTCGGATTGTTCAAGAAAGACGGTGTAATAGTCAT